TTTTTGTATGATACATTCAATTGTTTTGTAAAATTTATTAATTTGTAAATCTTTGTTGTGATTGAATTCGTGTCCAATTCAAATAAAAAGTTGTAATTACACAAGATGAATCTAATTTCTCTAGAGATTTTGTTTACCTGTTAATATTGATTACATTTTATGCCTTTATTAAGAAAAATAATGCGTGTAGATTGTATGGTGTATTTGAGCTTAAAACATTAACTTGTTTAAAATTATAATATGTAGTTTCATTGTGGTTTCTATTAGATTTTTAAATTTATAAACAGTATTTTATTTTATTAATATCATCATTAATTTGCATTGATATTTAAAAGTTTTTTAAAATTCTCTCTTTAAAATTCTAGTGTGTGATTTAAATGAACATGACACTCACAATTACAGTTTGTGTTTAATATTTGAGTCTGAACTGAAGATGAAATAATTTTCTCTAATGCATTTTTTACTTGGATTAAAAATAGGCTTCTATCTACATAAGCTGGTTAGTTTTTCTTTGCTTACTCAATATTAATAATAATAATTATAATAATTAAATGAAATGATGAATTTTAATAACTTTTTAAAATTTGTTCTGTTTAGCTTGTCTATTGGACCAAAAAGATATTAATAATAAATTTAAATAATAAATTAAGTGTATAGAATGAATCTGAACACGCAATTAAAAATTAAGAATGCATTAGTAAAAGAATTGATTGATCAGTTTTGTTAGAAGAAATTGACCAATCAATTATTTTACAAACTATAAATAATTTCTAACTGGAAAAAAAAAAATTAGAAATTGGACAGAAAAATAGAATACATGTTTAGTTCCAGATGGGAAATGAACCTGCATTTATTGAATTTATAGATGTAGGATGGCTCTAACAATGATGATAAATATTGCTAGAAAATGGAGAAGACATTGGTTTTATATATAATTTATTATGCAGAGAAATAGTTTGTGTATTATTTATATGTAAATAAATTTATTAAATTCAGATTTTAATTTTTCTGTATTTTGGATTCTGAGAATGAATTTATATCTGTTACAATGCCAGTTTATTTCTTCATTTATGAAAATTTACTTTTTGTATGTTTTATTATCCTTAAATTCTTTATATTTTAATATTTAGGGTGATGTTTTAAATCAAATTATATAACTAATGTGTAAAAAAATACTACTACCAATAACTGGTAAAAGATTTTTTTAAAGAATGATTAAAATTTGTTTAAAAAAATGCTCTCTAATTGATTTGTATTATAAAATAAAAAAATTTTTGAGATAATTTTAACTGAAAGGTTAGAAATAATTAACTTTATAGTTGAAATATTCTATATGAATAAAAGCATTAATTTTATTTTAATAAAGAAAGCAAAAGAAATGAAAGTTATTAACTTTTTAAAAAGTAGTAAACTATCACGAAAAGAATCTAATTGTAAATTCAAAATAATTGAATCAATAATGTTTTGTTTGCTCTTTATTTAAATCACAAAAGTAGATGCATGAGTGGTGGAAAAACTGGATAGAAAAATTATATCATTAGACAAATTTATAATCTTGTATTGATTTTATTATGTTAAGTAGATAATATATTATTATATTGCAAGTGTAGGCATTTTTATGCATGAAATACAGCTAAAATATGTAAAAAAAAATAAGGCTTTGTTTTTGGGGTCAGGAACAAATTAATCCATTTTATATTGTTTTTTCTGTTGTTGTTTGTATTATTATTTTATATTGTTGTTTACCAATTTGTTCTCAAACTGAAACAAATTGGTTTTTGAACAACTTTTAGGAATGAATTTGAGGTTTGACTGTATTGCCATCTTGTACATTGTTTAAGTTGATTACAGATTTGAAACAGTGTAGTTTTATACTTTAAATTATATCAAATGATCTATCAGATTTTTAATTGGCTGTAGTAAGGCTAATTAATAAACATACAATTTGGCTAGGCTGGCTTAACTGTATCCAAATAGCCAAATTGCTTTATATCTATTTCTTAATTAGCTTTACTACAGCCTGTTAAAGATCCAGCAGATAGTTTGGTATTACTAAGATATTATGTATCTTATAAATTATTTGAAAAAATTAAGTTCAAACAAAGCAAAAATTGTGTGTGGTTTTTCTTTTATTATTTTGGTTTTGTCAAGCAGAAATTTCAGAATGTAGATTCAGAGTAGATTCATTTAAAAACGAAAAATACAAATATTGTTACATTTATTACTCTGACTTTGTTTAGCAATAGCAACAAATGTAACTTTAGATCAAAGTTACATTCAAGATTGTTGCTACTGCTAGACAAAGTGAGAGTAATAAATGTAACAATATTTTTCATTTTCGTTTTTAAATACATATAAATATTATTATATATGAGCAATTATTTATTGTGACATTGGCACAATGCCAGGCTGCAATTTTTTATATTTTAAATTCGTTTAATTTAAAATATATGCTCTCCACCTGAAATTAGTAGTGTCTTGCCCCTGTACATCATACTTTTCCTTTAACAACAGTTGTGCAGTCACCTATCTAACACCTTTTAGAGGAAGATTTTTGAATTGAAATAACACATTAGAAGTTCACACATAGTTAATTGGGGCCTCCTGCCCCTAAAGTCTGGCCTTGTCTTTCATCTATCTAACTCCGTTCTTGAGAATAAGGAAAGATGGGTGGACAGACAACAGTGGGAATTTATAGGTCTACAATTTTTTCAAATTGCTGCCCAATAAGAATCTGATTTTCTGTTATTTGTTTATTTAAAAAAAATAAACAAATTCAAATTATTAGAATGAAAAATTTCTGGAAAATTTATTTTTTTTTCAATAAAAATTATTCAAATTTTTTTAAGTTATTAAAGTTCTTATTATCATAATTAAAATTCTTTTAATTATATATATTGATATTCATCCAAAATTTGCTATTATAATTGTTGTTTTTTTTTAATTTAAATAATTTATATATTACTTTGGAAATCAATACTACTAAAACCTTGTTGGTATAGATTTTTATTCAGTGATCAATCAAAAAATCATTATTTTGTACATTTAAAATATTTTGAAGAAACATGATTGCGGATATATTTGTATTTAAAATACTGTATTATAAAATTTATGATTATAAAATCTCATTGATTATTTTTTGTTTATCTCATTTTATTTATAGTTGCAATTATAATATATTAAAAAGCAAAGTTTGTAAAGTAATTACGCTTTGAATTTTAAATTTATTTTATATTTATTTCTATTATTAAAAAGTTACATTACAGTATTTACAAAATATTATCATCATGAAACTGATTTCAAAATAAGAAAATCAGTTTTGTTTTGTCAAGCAATTCTCTTTTTATTATGATGGCTACCATATTAATCATAAACAGACAATTAGAACAGTAGTAAAATTTTTTTTGTTTTTGTATGAGTATAGTTACTTATCAAATGTTGAAAATATACAAAAGCCTGCATAATTCCCCTAATGAAATTACGAACATTTAATTAATATTTTACACTTAAAAACAATAATAATATAAAATTAGATTCACCAAAATATTTTACAAAACTATTTTATTCTTGAATATATTACTATCTCTTGTTAAAAACAGGTATAATATATATAGTTTTAAATAAATTTTTTGATTAAATAAATAAAAAATAAAGAAATTATTTTGTAAAATGGATTAATATGAATTAATTGTAGTAATCAAGGGGGTAATTTAAAGTAATTTGTATTACTTGAATGTGATAAGATCATTTATGGGAATATAATTTCCAACTTCTGTTAAAAATACAGAAGTTGAAGATGATGAACCAATACTTAAAAAATTTTTGAGTAAGATGTAGGATTCCTAAATGTTGAGTTATCTGTTGAAAATGGTTTAAAATTGTCATTTATTTTTTGAATAATTAGAAGTTTATTTTTTAGCAATCTAATATTATTTTAAATAATAATAATAATAATGGATAAATATTGCCAATTTCTTACTCATTAAACAATTTCATTCTTAGATGCAAATAAATCTAATATTACATATAAATAAATTTTGGAATAAATTCACACCAAAATTTTTTGAGTCTCATTTATTTCTTGATTGATAAACAACATATAGTGTCAGTTGTATTGATAATACTATATTAAATAAAATTTTATTGAATAAAATGTAAACAAAATCTTAAAGTTGCAAAAATGATCAATCTTTTAAATAAGATTTATTAAGACAAATAGAATTTTAAAAAGTTGAAGTAGATATTTATTTCATTAAAATTCATATTGTAAGTAAATATAAATTTATTCCTATATTGATTGTTTTTATTAATTTTACAAATCTAGTTATGGATTAGGAAATTTAATATATTGATTTTGATGTAATATAGTCTATTATTAATATGATGATTTTATTTCATGGTTTGAAAATATTTATTAAATTTAAAATATTAAGTAGGAATTTATATTTAAAATGCAATTTTTATTGTAATCTTTCTCATCTTTGTTGATTAAAAAAAGGGTATTATTTAGAATTAATTTATCCATTTCATGCTGGTGAAAATTTTAATATATAAAAAATTTTCCATTAACAGAAATATGTTAAAATAAGAAGGGGGAAAACATAAAACAATTCATTGTATTCTTATTATAATTTAATTTATTTTGTTATATATTCATACATGTTTTTGAATAGTGAAATGTCAGTGAAGTTTCAATTTTGAAAGGGACTTTTTTTTTTTAATAAAATATTTTTGATCAGCAAAATTTTTAAGCCTCAATTGTAGTCTTTTTGGTAAATTATAATTTTTCAAAAATTATTCGTAAAATAGTTAATTGGTGATAAAAGAATACTGATATAAATTATTTATATTTTTAAATACTTTCTAAATATTTATATATAAATTATATATGAAAAATAATTGTATTGATCTGTAAAATTTAAATTAATTTAAAGTTTTATTCAGTTTAACAAGTGTTTGTGTTTATTAATACAATATGTAATGAAATATTTAATTTTTAGATATGACTGAAATTTGAATAAGGTTCAGAAAAATCTCTTATAGCATTCATCAAAATCTATTAAGTCATAGTCTGTAGTGAATGAAAATCGCACAACAGCATCTACCTTCCCTCCCTACAAACACAATAGACAGAACATATTGATTTTTCCAGGCTGAGCACTGCTAGTGACTATGATGACTGATCAATAGATGTTGCCAGCTTAGCCAGATACATACCTGTACACTGCTTTGTTTTCACCATTACTTTGTGAAAAATGGGCTGGATAGAATGACATGGACTAACTTGGACTGACAGTTAACTCAGGTGTGTCTTTTGTCCCTCCCACTTTAACTAGAGTTTCACAACCAGAAATACTGTCTGATGCATTAGTTGTCTCAGAGTGAAATGTCCAGTTGTAAGACATATACGTGTGTTTGTGTGAATGTGTATGTGTGTGTATGTATACATATCAAATTTTTCTTTAAATTAAACCAATTTTGATTTTTATATTTTTAAATCAATAAACTTAAAGTATTAAGTTAAGCAGATAAATATTTTTATTTGTTTATAAATTCATTTATTTCCTAATAGTGGTGTTTTTTTTCTTCATGCTTTTCAATAATTTAAATGTACTTAATTTTTAAAAATATTTTCTTAATATATTTAATCCCAAGATTATACAAATCATTCGGTAAATGACAATTCATTCTTTTAAAATTTTAAGTGTTGTTAAAGATGATATTTAAATTTTTAATAAAGATTAAAACATACATTAAAAAGTTATGACAGATTTGTAACAAATTACTCATTTATTTAAAAATATTTTGAAATTGTGATTTTTAGATAACTTGTATTAAAACCCATCTCAGAATGAAAAAATTTTAGACTGTTTTTAATCTGCTCTACAGCATGGAGTAATTATTTGTTTTTTCTTTGAAATATTTTTTAACTTTAAAAATAGTGTGAAAAAAGTCTCAAATATTTTTTGAGTCAAATTTTCAAGCATTTTGTAAATTTGATGTTTGGATATTTTAAAAAGTCTTGGAATAAATACAAATTTTATACATTTATGCATGGTATAAAAATATATTTTTGAAATATAGCATATTTTCATCTTTTCATTGTTTTACAGAGAAGCAATTGCCTATATTAATGAAATCAATACAAATGTAATATTGTTATCATTGTTTTTAATATTAAATAAGCATATTCTGTTATTAATACTTAAAAATGTGTTCAAAGAATTATTATTGTTGTTGTTATTTTCAAATGGAAATACCTTTGATTAAGGATATATATTTTATTGTAAAGATATATTGAAAATAGTAAAATTGAGAATGAAAGTGAATCTAGAATTGTATATTTGATCAATAAAAATGTTTACTCAGACAACCACACACTGTTATACGAGTATATTGCATAAAAAAGTTATCTTATGTAAATGGTAGAACAATAAAAATTGATATAATTAATGAAAGCATGCAAATAAAAGTCATTACAGAATTAAATTGAAGAATATTTAATATAATAAAGATTTGAACCTTTATTAATATTTTTATGATGATGATCAGTTTTGTTTTGTCAAGCAATTCTCTTTTTATTATGATGGCTACCATATTAATCATAAACAGACAATTAGAACAGTAGTAAAATTTTTTTTGTTTTTGTATGAGTATAGTTACTTATCAAATGTTGAAAATATACAAAAGCCTGCATAATTCCCCTAATGAAATTACGAACATTTAATTAATATTTTACACTTAAAAACAATAATAATATAAAATTAGATTCACCAAAATATTTTACAAAACTATTTTATTCTTGAATATATTACTATCTCTTGTTAAAAACAGGTATAATATATATAGTTTTAAATAAATTTTTTGATTAAATAAATAAAAAATAAAGAAATTATTTTGTAAAATGGATTAATATGAATTAATTGTAGTAATCAAGGGGGTAATTTAAAGTAATTTGTATTACTTGAATGTGATAAGATCATTTATGGGAATATAATTTCCAACTTCTGTTAAAAATACAGAAGTTGAAGATGATGAACCAATACTTAAAAAATTTTTGAGTAAGATGTAGGATTCCTAAATGTTGAGTTATCTGTTGAAAATGGTTTAAAATTGTCATTTATTTTTTGAATAATTAGAAGTTTATTTTTTAGCAATCTAATATTATTTTAAATAATAATAATAATAATGGATAAATATTGCCAATTTCTTACTCATTAAACAATTTCATTCTTAGATGCAAATAAATCTAATATTACATATAAATAAATTTTGGAATAAATTCACACCAAAATTTTTTGAGTCTCATTTATTTCTTGATTGATAAACAACATATAGTGTCAGTTGTATTGATAATACTATATTAAATAAAATTTNCAATTCAAATAAAAAGTTGTAATTACACAAGATGAATCTAATTTCTCTAGAGATTTTGTTTACCTGTTAATATTGATTACATTTTATGCCTTTATTAAGAAAAATAATGCGTGTAGATTGTATGGTGTATTTGAGCTTAAAACATTAACTTGTTTAAAATTATAATATGTAGTTTCATTGTGGTTTCTATTAGATTTTTAAATTTATAAACAGTATTTTATTTTATTAATATCATCATTAATTTGCATTGATATTTAAAAGTTTTTTAAAATTCTCTCTTTAAAATTCTAGTGTGTGATTTAAATGAACATGACACTCACAATTACAGTTTGTGTTTAATATTTGAGTCTGAACTGAAGATGAAATAATTTTCTCTAATGCATTTTTTACTTGGATTAAAAATAGGCTTCTATCTACATAAGCTGGTTAGTTTTTCTTTGCTTACTCAATATTAATAATAATAATTATAATAATTATAATAATTAAATGAAATGATGAATTTTAATAACTTTTTAAAATTTGTTCTGTTTAGCTTGTCTATTGGACCAAAAAGATATTAATAATAAATTTAAATAATAAATTAAGTGTATAGAATGAATCTGAACACGCAATTAAAAATTAAGAATGCATTAGTAAAAGAATTGATTGATCAGTTTTGTTAGAAGAAATTGACCAATCAATTATTTTACAAACTATAAATAATTTCTAACTGGAAAAAAAAAATTAGAAATTGGACAGAAAAATAGAATACATGTTTAGTTCCAGATGGGAAATGAACCTGCATTTATTGAATTTATAGATGTAGGATGGCTCTAACAATGATGATAAATATTGCTAGAAAATGGAGAAGACATTGGTTTTATATATAATTTATTATGCAGAGAAATAGTTTGTGTATTATTTATATGTAAATAAATTTATTAAATTCAGATTTTAATTTTTCTGTATTTTGGATTCTGAGAATGAATTTATATCTGTTACAATGCCAGTTTATTTCTTCATTTATGAAAATTTACTTTTTGTATGTTTTATTATCCTTAAATTCTTTATATTTTAATATTTAGGGTGATGTTTTAAATCAAATTATATAACTAATGTGTAAAAAAATACTACTACCAATAACTGGTAAAAGATTTTTTTAAAGAATGATTAAAATTTGTTTAAAAAAATGCTCTCTAATTGATTTGTATTATAAAATAAAAAAATTTTTGAGATAATTTTAACTGAAAGGTTAGAAATAATTAACTTTATAGTTGAAATATTCTATATGAATAAAAGCATTAATTTTATTTTAATAAAGAAAGCAAAAGAAATGAAAGTTATTAACTTTTTAAAAAGTAGTAAACTATCACGAAAAGAATCTAATTGTAAATTCAAAATAATTGAATCAATAATGTTTTGTTTGCTCTTTATTTAAATCACAAAAGTAGATGCATGAGTGGTGGAAAAACTGGATAGAAAAATTATATCATTAGACAAATTTATAATCTTGTATTGATTTTATTATGTTAATATAAATAAAAATATTTCACAAATAATAATCTTATTACTATTATTTTGTGATATGTGATGATAATGATATATAAATGAGGAAATTTTATAACATTTACTTTTTCATTTTATGAATAGCAAAAGAAATACAAATTTTCTTAGTGTTGTAGAAGTAAAATCATTATGACAATATTACATGATTAAAATTTCAGTTTTAATTAAACAGTTATTAACCTATTGTATATAAATGAATTTCAAAAAATGTGTAACTGCATTATTCTGGATGAATCCAAAACAGACAGATTTAGTTCTTTTCTGTGATCATTTTTGTCTGGATTTTGATTTCTTTCTTTGGTAAACATATAAATAATCTATTAGGATTCACATTTTAAAGCTTGTTTTTGTTAAAAATTGAAAAAATTTTTAATCATAAATCTTGTTTTTTATGTATTGTTCAATTTAATAAACCTGAAAAAAGTTGTCAGGATTATAAGGAGGAGTTATAAGAAAATAAAAATTTACCTTTGGATCAATTTTTGTATGCATAAGAAATTTATTAAGTAATGATAGTGTGATCTTTATTAACATTAACTACTGTGAATTTTATATATATTTATATACTGAATTTAATTTGTTATAGATTGTAAAAGAAAATATGCTTGTGAAAACTATATTGCATTTAGTTGATATCTGTATATGATCAATCAATATTAATGAAATGCATTCTTAAACTGAATTATTTTACAGAAATTATACAAATTTCTATTGCAGTAATCAGAATATACAATAAAATATTTAACAATGATTGTGTATTCATTGGTTTCACTCGGTAAATAATAATAGAAATCAATCTCTAAAACATTAAAATAATTATTTACACTTTTTATAACAGATTATCATGCCAGTTGCATAAATTTTAAATTGTTTCAAAGATTATTCAGAAATAGAAAAAATCAATATGCCAAGCTCTGAGTCGGCAGTGTGTGTAAGCCATTGCAGTCACTGGCAATCAATCTGTACATAAAAATCAAGAAAAACAATATAAACTTCAAATTGTTTTAAATTTAACATCATAATCCATAATTATTCCTTATTAAGCATAATTATGGACTAGGATAAAATACTTTGAAAATTATTGAAGCAGACAGTAAGTTCAATGATTATTGTTGTAATAATTAAAAATTGAGAAATGAATGAAAATTTTTCTTCTGTATCTATTGAACTGTAGAATTTAAAACAAATTTTTATAAAATTAGTTTTATTTATGAATTCATTAGGAAAAAAATTAAAAGAATTTTTTAATTTAAGAAACTTTTTATCTATTTACCTATTTAAACTTATAACTAAATAATAAACTAAGAATTAAAGAATTAATGTAGCATTTGATTCTAAGTTACTTTTTGGGAATTCTGCAAAATAAACCATTTTAAATGAACTAGTTCTGTATTGAAATAATTTTTTATGAGGAGTTGAGTGTGTTATGATTGCTTTTAAACATACTTTCAAATATACATAGTATGTACGTACAGTACATATAATATTACATTGATGTTATGTTGAGTATATATTTCAGTATAAGGCTGAATATTATAGTACTTTATTGATATAGTTTCTACAATATTACAAACAATATATTATTGTTTTTCTAAAATATTGAAAAATAATATATCCATTTAAATATCATAAAAAATTATAAAATAAAATATAAAATTAGTTACACTTGAACACTTCTTTAAATATTTTACTATAAGAGTGGATATATAATATGTATGTATGTATATTATACTTCCATTTTAATAAATACAGTCAAAACTGTCTACAATGGAACCTGTATATAGCAAAAACCTGTCATTAACGGAAAATTTCTTTGGTCCCTTGAATTTTTTGCAAAAATTAATGTAAATTAACCTGTATACAACGGAAACTGTCTAATGCAGAAATGGAAAGTAAAATCAAGTCATATAACGAAAAAAATTGGTATCTTTATCTGATTTAACACAAATTTAACAAGGAGTTTACAAGCCTAGCATATATAAATCATAAAAGTCAAAAAATTCACATACCCAATACAGAATAGCAAAATATGACTACTGTAATACAGTAATTTTATTGGGATTTGAACAGAGTTTTTTTGCATATTTTTATTAACAGCTATTTTTACTTAACATAAATATGTAATATAATTATAAGTTGTAAAATTTAACACATTATTTTTGATGTGAGTTTGTATTCTTTGTTTTTAAGCTTATTTTAAACTTTTTTACATCACATTTCATTTGAATAAAATCAAATCGAAATGTCTGCAGATAAAATGCACATTGGTCATATTATATATGCTTTTTAAGTTTTTTAAAGGATATCACACTATACAAACAGTAAAAAATAATTATACTGTATGTGGGGAAGATGCTTCTAAACTTTGATATGTCAAATGTGGTGTTGAGAATTTCATTCAGGAAATTTTGAACTAAAGGATACAAAACATACGAGCCCCAAAAGCTGTTGAAGAGAAATTGCATAAAGAAATTGTTAGATTGTCACAGACATGTGTTGTTGAAGCACTTCATCCATTTGAAATGGTTGTAAAACATGCTGATTGTGTTCTGCATGCAGTTTTTTTTTTTCACTTATGGAAAACAACAAACTGAATTGAGTATAATTTTGTTTGATGAAGGTAGTTGTAAGGTTTTATTTTATTTTTAAATTGGTTACTCATTTTTATCTTAGAGTATTTTTTTTTTTTTAATGGATGAATGAAAAAATTAAAGTTATTAACCAAAAATTTATTCTAGCAGATGGTGATTGTTTGGTCAAGTACCGAGGTATGGTACAATTTGATATAAGCAGTAACATTGAGAAATTTATTACTCGCATTAATCAAGGAATACCTATAGGTACTGTACAAGCCTAGTAGGTGATCTATATATATAGCAGAAATCTATCTACTATAGAAGAGTTGTTTGGTCCCTTGGGGTTTCATTATAGAGAGGTTTGACTGTAGTTTGAAATGCAGTTATTCAGAAAAATTAAGAATAATAATGAAATTCTCAAAAAAAAAA